AAATATTCTCTTCCCAGAGTATATGATGGGACCAAGGTGATGATTTGGTACATGGTTTTAATAATACTTTTGCTTTTCAATGTTTGCCATGTCAAACCATGAGCTGGTTCAAATCATATTTGCCTTGATTTACAATATGTTCTCATTTATTTTATCAGTACAGTTTTGAAGCTTTTGTGCTTTTCCTTGCCATAGTCCACTTTGGACTATATGAAATATTTCAGGATTGCACTTTTAACTCACTTGAAATGTTCTCACTTGCTTGGTTTCAAAACATAACAAATGCCATAATCTGTTCATTGGGGACCATCAATGCTATTTTTCATTGCTGTTGCCGGCCACTATTACTCATGTAAACCTACTACTGCTGCGCCCCCTGTAACCTCAGAGGCACCCTGAGTCATTTTGTTCTGGAACCGGGCCTGTACACGGCCATATACTAAACTGTACTACTGGATTAACAACGTGTCACATGTTAAGAAGTTACAATCAGAATCCAGTATTCAACTAAGCCGTGTAATACAAGTTGTTAGTAGCCTTAAGGGCCTACACAGTTGTTATGCTATACCACATTGCCCTTCACTGGATGTATAATGAGCTGCACTAAACTACATTTCAGCATTTAAAATACCTAGCCATTCTTTTGCGGTTATTTTGGTGAAAGTAACTCAAAAGTAACTAAAGTAGTGTAACTCATTACATTTCAGAGACAGTAATATTGTAATGTAACTTATTACTTTCAAAAGACAGTAATAAGTAATATGTAATATATTACACTGTACAGGATACAGTATATTTACGTAGCTGATCTAAGACAAGGGTTTATTTAAAAAAGGAGTTGGTACTGTAAACTCATATTTTTAGGCTGTGGAAATGGAAAGGTAAAGCGTAGTTATGACAACTCAATTTGCTTTTTTCAACCTCTTTATCAGGGGGTTTTAGAGGAGAAAATAGTCAAGGTGTTTCACTGTAAATAGTAGTGAATAGATCTTCAGCCACAACTTGATTATCTTTGCATTATTATCTGTGCTTACAACATACACAGATCAGGTAGATGTCATTTATTGTAACGATAGATATAAACTATTATTATTTCAATACCTAGCTTAAAGTTTGAGTGAAACCAGAGAGGTTTGTTGTCCCACACTTGTGTTATTTGTGGCCGGACTACAACTACATCCGTCAGCGAGTCACTGACATGCCAATCAAAATGTTGGTGTCAACCTCAATTAGCATGTTCCAGCTATACATGATCCATGCTGTCGTTATTCCTGCCGTCGCTCTGTTTAACACTCTCACAGACTCACCTTGGCTCTGTTCAAAACACATATGGTGCAATTAGCCTCCGCTCCGTGTTGCATGTGGTCCTGGTTTCTGAGGCATTTCAGTCACCTCAGGGTTCCCAGAGGCCATACAAGTCCTGTTGATGAAGGGGGGGGGGGGGGCTGAAGGCTTTGGAGCCTGGCGGGCAAAGTGAGAGAGATAGGGCTCTGTTCTGAAGGGAGAAAATAATGAAGGCAAGGCAAGTTTATTTATATAGCACCTTTCAACACAAGGCAATTCAAAGTGCTTTACAAAAATGAAAGACATTAAAGGGGACCTATCATGCAAAATGCACGTTTTGATGTCTTTTATACATAAACATATTTTTTGGACGGACACTATAATTTACAATGGCAAAAAGAAAAGTCTTGAGCCTGGATTTAAAAGTAGTAACGGCCGGTCTACACTACAGGCGTCAAAAAATGCTTTCAACGCTTCGCCCATTCATTTGAATGGGGTGACGTAGGATATTTTCAAACTTCGCCGAACTGCATTGTGGGTAGCATGGCAAGGCGTTGCAAGCATCGCGAGCGTCTATCGGCGTCAAAAGTTGAACAATGTTCAACTTTTGAGGCTCGATGCTTGCTCGAAGCTGGCGTCAGCCAATGAAATCCCGTTTATGCAAATCTGCCAGTACAAGCGAGCCAATCAAACCGCGTTTATGCTGGGAGAGACTACGCAGGTAATTTCCTCATATTCAAAAAAATTGAGGGAAAATTCATTATAGCGGTAGTGAATCACCCGGTGCTGTATGATCAGTCTCTGTTCATCTACCGCAGGGGTGCCCAACCAGTCGATCGCGATCGACCGGTCGATCGCGGGGAGATTCCCAGTCGATCGCGAGATGTGTCTAAAAATAGAACAACAATATTCTGTTTTATCGTTAATGTCCTATAACATAATCTTCCTGTGCCAGAATAATGCACTTGAACGCATCAAAGCTTTGTGATTGGCCGGCGTGACCCCATGTGTCGGGGCGTGGCTGGTGGGCAGTGAGCAGTGCACTAGTTCGCTAACGTTGTCCGTGTCAACAGGAGTGACAGTCCGCACACACACACAAGACCGCAATTATGGCAGAAGCAAAACATATATAATTTTCATTCCGAGTGGGAGGATGATTATGTTTGTATCTATTCCAATTCAAAGTCCATCTGTCTCATCTGCAATGCGAGCGTGGCTTTATCGAAGAAGGGTAATTTAGGAGCGGCATTTCAAAACAGTCCACAAACACTACGAGACGGAATTCCCTCCTAATTCTGCCCTACGCTCCAAAAGGGGAGGGGCCTGAAAGGACAGCTAAATGCACAGCAGTCCATTTTCACCAGGCCCAACAACAAGAGCAAGGCTGCTACCAGAGCACCTTATCGCATCAGTCACGTTCTTGCGAAACACATGAAGTCTTTCAAAGACGGCAAAGTTGTGAAAAGCATTCATGTAGGCTGCCGATGCGTAATAAAAATAACAGCAGCATTTCAACAGGTTTTTGATATGATAAAAACTCAAGTTAGATACCGTTATTAATCAGCTGTAAGTTTGAGTTTGTTTGAACTTATTCATTATAATTATTTTACAAAATGGTATAAGAATGCAAACTTAAATTGATTATAGTCTATTATCAATTCAGGTTAAGAATGTTGCTTGCATCCTATTTTAAAGGCATTTATTTGTATAATCTACTAAAATGCAACAAAAAAAGGGTTTGATTCTATTAATTTTGTCTTTTTTATTGCACGTTGGCAGCCGATTCCTGTGTAGCTTCAGATCTGAGTTTTCTTATTAGTAAACCTAATTTATACTTTTGTAGCAACACTATTTTTATATAATGGCAAAGAAAGGGTTCAGAGTCTTTTCTTTTTTTCCTGTGTCATATGTGGCAGCACTGTTCAATGTTTCTTAAACATTACCCACTGTAGTGACGTGTGAATAAACTCCAACTCTGTATCAACAACACTGTTGTGTAACTTCAGTTAAATACTTGTATGTGTGTAGATTAGAAAGATGTAAGATAAAGGATCTGCATTATTTTATGAAGTATTAATCGTACAGAGGTCAGTTTTATACAAGTAGAAGTGTGTGTTTACCTGGTAGTAGGCTGTCAGTAATGGCTACGCCTCTATATTTGGACTGGTAGATCTCGGCAGACTGGCAACTTTAAAAGTAGCTCTCGGTTCAAAAAAGGTTGGGCACCCCTGATCTACCGGGATACAAACCGGAGGAGCGAGGCATGGAGGGAGGTGGCAGAGACAGTGGATGAAACTGGTAGGTTTTCGCCTGTTTGGGGATTTTATATCCAGTTTACTTCGTTTTAACATTGCTATTGCTTTGTATATCGGGGGCGGGAGATTCATGTGATTGGTTGTTGGTCGCGTTGCTCACAAAAAATCGCCAAGCCTCAGACACGCCCAGCTTCAAGCTTTTTCGACGCCTGTAGTGTAGACGGGCCGTAAGAGTTGCATCGGACCTGCAGGATTCTGGGAGTTTGTAACAAAGTAAGGCCTTGGAAGATCATGATGCTCAACCGGTGTTCCGTACAGGCGTCCAACAGTAATCCATACAGAGCTCATTACATGATTCCAACGGCAAAGAATGAACAATTTCAAATGGTAAATAATCCATTTTTGTGATGAATGTTTACTTTTTTGACCCTTTATTTGACTGCTTAAACATCATCTTTGTAGAATTACGTGCAAACAGCATCTGTGTTTACGTCCTGCTGCTGCAGCCAAGAGTGGCGTCAAGTGGTAATAGCCTGGCATAATTAAAAAAGCTTTAGGGTACATATTTAATAACTTAATAACACCATAATCTTATGAGGACATTTCTTTAGAAAATCCTCAAACACCTCAATAGTAAAGGGAATCTACTTCACATCTTCAGACTATGTACATTGCGTTTTTCTGTTTGCTAAAATAAAGTTGTGTGTTGTCTTTAACTTCCTTATGTTAATAGCTTTATTTGTATTTATCTTCTCTCATTTATTGTGTTTTTCTAAATATTTGTATTGATTTTTCTTTAACTTTTTGTTTTGTTTTCATTCTAAAATGGAGTTACCATCACAAAACTCCAGGTGTTCCAGGTGTTCCAGGTGTAAAAGCAGCAACCACAATAAGATTGAAACACAGCTTAGCACAGAAACAGATATATGTATTTTGGTAGCGGACTGACCCAGCAGTAGATCTCGTAATTCATGTGAGTATAAATCTTTCTCCTCTGGCTGACCCCTCCTGTCCTGCCTATCCCATGTGTTCTCTTTGAAGGAGCGATATATTCTTCACTCCTAAACTATGCTTTCAATCAACACACAACTTGACTTCCCTTTGACAAAACATATAAAAAGACTTTAACTGCTGAAGAGAAGTAAGAGTACAGTCATCCATCAACACAAATTATATACATGTCAATATTTGTTATGTTTTACTGTATCTTAAATCTGTAAAACTACCAAGTAATGACAATCAGATTCATGGCCAAGTAGGTTTTTACATTAGAGTTATTTACTCCTTTATGCAAAATGGTCACAATATAAACAGTAAAAGATCAAAAGGTCAAAAGTAATTAACTAGAAAAATGTTAACTAAAACCACAAACTCTATTCAACATATTCATTTCAAATGAAAAAGAGCTATAGTGTTCAAAACAAAGAGAATGCAATGTGCAGAATCTCGAGCCAAAGCACCATTTGGCATTTTCTTTCTCTGGCAGTGTCAGAATCCAGAAGCAGTCCACTGCACACTTGTGAACATGTATCTGTAGACCTGGACACGACTACATCAACAAGGTGCTGTGAGATCACTGCTTGTGTCTTTCTTCATTAAAGAGTAGGTGAAATGATAGAATGCATGTTTGGTGTTTGAGCACACATTACATCGTCCTCCAACAGAGTGACTATTGATTACATATCTATGTTGAACCTGGGCATGATGGGCATTGTGTACATCAAGCAGTTCATGCCAAAATATGAATGATGAAAGGAAATCTTGGTGAGCCAGTACCTTGGGCCTGATGTAACTGATGACTTATTCTCAGACAGACAGATGCAGCAGACTGTTCTGAGGGATGGGGTAATGCAGTGGGAGCCGGGGGTGTCAGCCATGACAGAAAATGGTTTATGTGGCTCATGGGTCAGGTAGGAGGGCCCCTTACCAGATATTTGGGCCCCAGGGAGGTCAAGGCGAGCCCTGTGCACCTTCAGCATCTGTTTGAGATGCACCAGGGAGCGGAAGTTCATAAATAGTGAGAAACACAGAAGCTCATGTTGTCTGTGAGAGGATGGTGGAGGGGTCACATCTTCAGAGTGTTATCCCCCCCCCACAGGGCTGTGATCTTTGTGCATTTATAAATACAGGTGGGACGGGACAGAGGCGTCTGAACACCACTTCTCCTCCTGCTGGTGTTTCTGACTCCTCCTGAGGTTGTGTGTACCATGAAGAAGGTCCATGGCTTGTGAGTGTGTGACACAGATTGTGCAGAGTCATGCTGACAGGAGTGTTCTGCTTGATGCGATTAAATGACTAAATGTCTTTCATTTGAGCACCATAGCTGCTTTACAGCTGATATACTGCAAATGTTTTTTAGGATGTGAAATAGATTTTTATATTTTCTTCTTTTTAACAACTTCACTTTTCCTTTAAGGTCTTTATGTACCATGATACACCAAATCACTTCAGGAAAGTAATACAATTACTTTGTCAATGAAAACAATGTCATAGAAATCAAATCCATATAGAACAGAGCAGCAGTTACAGTCAAAGGGTGCCCCAATAAAGTTATGTTGCAGCTTTATGCTAAAATTGTTTAAATGTATTATGTATTATCTTAACTCAATATCCAATCATTAAAGTATAAAAAATATATATATTTAAATATTTTTTAAATATCTTTAACATAAATAGACGTGTTAAATTATCAGTAAATCACTTATGTTAGGGAAACCTTGTATCTTTGCAAACTGTATTTTTCGTTAATTCGAATAATAATAAGGGCTACACATTTATTAAACATCCCCTTCTGAACAAGTAATATTTCAGCCGTGTGTGTGTGTGTGTGTGTGTGTGTGTGTGTGTGTGTGTGTGTGTGTGTGTGTGTGTGTGTGTGTGTGGTGTGTGTGGTGTGTGTGTGTGTGTGTGTGTGTGTGTGTGGTGTGTGTGTGTGTGTGTGTGTGTGTGTGTGGTGTGTGTGTGTGTGTGTGTGTGTGTGTGTGTGTGTGTGTGTGTGTGAGATGCCAGGTCCTGAGCTGCTCCACTGACAGGGAATGGAGAGCAGGTTTATCACAGCATCACGATGTGTCCGATGAAACAACAACAGGAACACAGTCTATCGCCATGGAGAGTCCAGCAGAGGAGACGCTACAAAACACATCAGAGATCGTCGGGCCCCAACGTTCCCTTAAGAACATTCAAAGATTCAGATGTTTTCCATCGCAAATCTTCCGCCCAACAGGGACTTGTAAAGCACATAGAATTACATCAGAGAGAAAGAGAGGAGGAGGAGAGGGAGGAAAATTCTTCAAGTATGAGAAAACTTTACAGCTCTCCTCCCCTCGGCTTCTCTTTTTCCCCTGCTCTCTCCTCTGTCCATCCCCCGCCCTTCCTCTCCTGCTGGTCAGTCAGTCACACTCAGAGGAAGTCTGCAGACCACAGCAGGTAAGATGCTCCTCCACTCTCAGGGTGCTTAGATACACATATTTGATTCATAATCATTCAGGACATTTTGGAATAGGTTGATTTATATTATAGATATTGTATTATATGCAGGGATAAGAATGACAAGGCAATAGGCATTATTAAAACTCACTCTCAGATGGTCTTATGTGATACTAATGCTAATGTTTTGGAAACAAAACTGTATGACTCACTTTAGAGAATCAGTCATCACAAAAATAATGATAATATGCAACCACATTCTGAATATTTTTATTCTAATCTATTCTACTCTGTTTCCTCTTGCAACCATTTATTTTTATTTTATTTGTTTGATGTCCTATATAACCATGTTGCATTGTTGGAGGAGCTTGGGACTTAAGATTTGCATTGCCATGTCTACACTGTAGCTACTGTGCATATGACAATAAAGACTTTCAATCTTGAATAATCAGAAAACTTTTTTTTTTCATTCTTTCGGGACACCAGCTGTTGAACAATAGAAACTTCTGTGGCACTCAAAAAGTGAATTTTCTTATGCAATGAAATACATTTTCTGAGTATCTCTTATTTCCAGTCTGCAATTAGGATGATATTATTTCACCCTGGTTCATGTTAATTACAAAACAGAGATAAGACAGATGTTCGTCCGGAACATTTGAAAGATTGCCTTAAACAAGTGAATTCATGTTGGAAACAAGTGGAATCACCATGTGTGCATGGTGGTTTATCCAGATGTTAAATGCACTTCACTAACATCAAGGCATTATGGGGGATTCAACCGCATCCACTCCATCTTAAAGCTCCTGCATGCATGTAGGCAATAGTTGAAATGTGCTGCAGTGTTATAGAGGTGGCAGATGAAAATGGAAGCACATTAACGTGAAAATTACAAATCTTGAGAGTGAAGTGGTTTTGTTTTGTTGTGCACACGTGACATCATCCTGTCTGACTGTTCAGACTTTAGAGAGTTCACTTGACTGATATTTGGGAAAGAAGGCTTGTACCGTAATGGCTGTCCATCATTACATCACCACCAACAACAAATCAAAACACGCCATTGACCTGCAAAAAGTCCACAAACTATTGTTCACATCGTTTACATGTCGTTAGCCTTTACTGAGTGAGTTAAAAATGTACAGGGGGCAGTGTTCCACATGATGGGTTGTTTAGGAGTTCTGCTGTACATGTTTTTAAAAGCTGTCTGCAAAAGGGGTTTTGTGTATCCAGAGGAAGCTGTATGAAGACTGATAAATGTCCCCAAGTGATGTCACCGGAGTCAGTGTTGGTTGAGTTTACACATTTGAGAAGGAAAAAAAGAGGGGGAGTTTGAAAGAAATGATGTCACACCCCTCTGCTGCAGGTTGGAGGCTCCAGGCTACATTAGCACCAAACGAGCCAAACACACCTGGCTCTCACACCCAGCTGTCTGTGATTAAGTTGAATTATGGGTAATGTAGGCGCCAGTTTTTAAGGAATATGGAAGAATTTGTGGAATAAAAAAGACTAAATCTCTGGTTCTGCTGCATAGAAAAATCTGAGTACTAATTTGACCAAGTTATCAAAAGCAGAACATCTTTACTGATTTGGAGGTACAGGATGAATTGCTGTTTTCTATAGTATTTGATCAGAGGGAAGTTTTAATTTCCAAAGATTGGTCTGTTTTTGGTTTACGTATATGTTGAAGAAATAAAGTTCTGAAATGAGAATAGAGGTACAGTAGCAGGTTATAAATTAATTGTATTGTTAAACTGCACGCCTCCAGGTATCTCTTGTTTACACGTCATTAAACACAGCCAAGTTTGGATATCAAGTTATGGAGGAGTGTTCTTTTTGGCTTCAGAGGCTAGGTGTGTGAACAGGAGGAATACAATCAGCAGCAGTGTGAGAAGGTAAAGGTGAAGAGCAAGTGTGCAGTCTTTATGGTGCGTTCAGGGACTTTCTATTGCCCTGTCTTTCCGAGAAGGTGCAACCGGAGCAGCTGCAGCAGCTGTCAGCGGCAGGTATTTACAAGCTAATTGTTCCCATTGAGGTGAATGGGGTGGCTGACGGCGGGGTGCAGACTGACTGCAGATGCTGAACTCTCTGAGTCAAGTCAATTTAGCACCAAGGAGAACATGTGGGTTCCCATATGAAATGCATCAGTTTGAGACTTCTGATACCATTTGCCTTCTGCATGTTGTAATGAGGCATGCAGTTCTAACAAGGGAAAAAGAGCACCACAAACGTATTATTCAGAGTGTTTTTAGGTCATACATAATGTCTGGAGGGGATCACATAGCTTTAACAATTGGACCACCAGGGGAACATATACATTTATGTTCTGTAGCAAACCTATGATTTGGTGTTTGTTTGTTTGTAGCCTTTATTTAACCAGGTGAAAGCCCCTTGAGATCTAAAGATCTCTTTTTCTAGGGTGACCTGCAGGACATTAGTTACACATGTAACATAAAAACAACAGAACAACAATAAGGATGACAAACAACATAATGTACAGGGTACAGTTTACAAACTCTATTTACAGAGAGGTGTCTCTGCTGTAGAAGAGAGTTTAGTATGTTCAGGTCATAATCCTTTGGCTTTTGTTGTTATTTTATATTTATCTAAATCTTGATATTTAAATGTTTTAATTGCCTTTTTTTTGCTATCCTTTTTTTTTTAGAATTGTCCGATTGTCTCAAACATCTCAAAATATACTAAATGTATTATTGGCACAGAATAGTGCAGACATCAGTAGTTCCCAGAATCATGGGACATTTCCTCACCATCATAGTGTTCATATTTATCTCTATGTTTTTTATGTAATGTCATTAGAGATTCATCTTCCTCTCAGGGTCAATTGTCAAAACTTTACTACATCTTTGACTTTTATTATAGCCATCAGTCCAACATTTCAATGTGTCCAAATACCCACCACACTAAGGACACTCAACCACAGCTGTTCAGTGTTTGTTGCAATCATGCTAAAACATTAAACATGTTAGTTAAAGAGCAACTTGCAGGTAAGAGACCCCAGTGAATAAATGTGTAGGGAAATGATGTACACTAGATTTTCAAAGAGAAATACAGAAATATACACTTCAGTGACATCTGGCGTCGTTTTTGTATGACATTTTTACTTCCGCATAAAAAGGTATGAATAAACATGGTTCACAATGCTAGTTTTGACACAGAAGAGGTTGAAAATGTATATTCGAATACACATGACGGACCACAAACCATATAATTATGAGCCTGCTAGGCGTCCAAGAGACCAGGAGCAGCCAAGGATTAGAAGAAATAACGGCCATCGGAGAGAAATGGAGCTGTGGTGTGAGGAGAACCAGTGGAGAACAGAGCAGCTGTCTTGGTGAGTGACCGGCGTTAGCTACAGTTAATGTTAACTAACGTCAGTCACATCACAACATTGTAAAGTTAGCTATCATATATCAGACTATAACTAAAGTAGTATATACACGGACGACTATTGCAGTAAGCATGTTTTAACTTTCGGTTGTTGTTGTCATTGTCATCTCCGGGTATCCCGTGTGCCTGTTCTGTTGCTGATAGCTTATTATCTTAACTTAATCGATCGTTTTAAAACTCTTGATCATGGCAACTGCCTGACGTTGTAATCACACGTTACTACAGCTTAAGCACTCACAACTCTCGTTGTGGCCCGTCCACACAGCGGCGTTGGAAGCTTCTTCTCTAGCCAATCAAACCGCTGCTTGTGTGTCAGGGGCGGGAGATTCATGTGATTGGTTGTTGGTCGAGCTTCAGACACGCCCGCCGGCAAGCTTTTTCCAAAGCCGCTGTGCGACTGTAAGTCCACAGTTGCCTACACTCTTTTCGGGTTTGCTAACGGTAGCTACTTTAGCTTGATAGCTAGCCATGGCTCTTTCCCCACCCTCGGGTGTTATTTCCTGCTCTTCCTGTCTCATGTTTGGTTACTTCCCTACCTCCTTTACTGGTACCAATACATGTGTTAAATGTAGTATAGTTGTTAGGTTGGAGGCGGGAATCATAGCCATAGAAGCCCGGCTCCGCATCTTAGAAAGTAACTCAGCTACAGTAAAGCCCATGTTAGCCGGTGCGGACCGGAAAAAGCTAGCTCCTATTAGCCGTCCCCCGGCAACTCCCGAGCAGCAGGAAGACTGGGTGACTGTTCAGAAGGGGCATAACGCGAAACCCGCAGGTCCCCACCAACCCATTCACGTATCTAACAGATATTCCCCACTCAGCGAGACACCCGCTGAGAAGCCAACTCTGGTTATTGGTAGCTCTATTTTGAGACACGTGAATTTAGAGACCGAAGCCTCCACAGTCACATGCATTCCGGGGGCCAGAGCGGGTGACGTTGAGGCGCATCTTAAACTGCTGGCTAAAAATAAACGTAAATACAGTAGGATTGTTATTCACGTCGGTGGTAATGATGTTCGTTTACGCCAATCAGAATGCACCAAACTTAATGTGGAGTCGGTGTGTAGTTATGCTAAAACAATGTCGGACACCATAATCTTCTCTGGTCCCCTCCCCAATCTGATCAATGATGACATGTATAGCCGCATGTCATCATTTCAGCGCTGGTTGTCTTGGTGGTGCCCAGCAAACAATGTGGGCTTCGTAAATAATTGGACAGCCTTCTGGGGAAAACCTGATCTGATTAAGAGAGATGGCATTCATCCTACTTTGGATGGTGCAAATCTCATTTTGGCAAACATTTCAGGGCTATGTGGACTTAATCCATGACAAACTGGAGTTGAGACCAGGAGGCGGAGTTGCAGTCTTACACGCTTCTCTGCGCTCTCTCCTAGGCAGTCATCCATAGGAATCCCGAATCCAATAAAATACCCAATATTAACGGTGTGTGTGTCTGCCCAAGGACAATTTAAGGTAAAACCTAATAGAGGTGTCATACATAATAACCTAATAAAAGTAAATGTAACAACTACTACAGTGCAACAAAACAGGAATATTAAATGTGGTCTCTTAAACATAAGATCTCTAGCATCTAAAGCAAT